TGGCCGTTTTTGTAACTCTCCCCCCTTTCCCAAAAAATTTTTTTTTTGCCCAATTTTCCTTTAACGTTCAGAAGGCCATGATCACTTTTTCCTACCCCGCTACACCCCTGTTTGGGCGAAGACAAAACCCGCAGGGGATATTATAAAAATCCCAATTTACCCCCCCATACTATACTATTTTGGGGCTGGGTTTTTGGTTGCAAGCATAACCTTATTGTAGTCTTTTTTTGGGGTTATTATTGAATTATCATTATTGTTTTTTCCTTGTTTGAGTTACTGCTGAAATTGGGCTGGGGTTGTCCCTGCGGGTTTCGCTTAGGACCCTTACATGTCTTTTGTACCTTATGTTCTTTCTTAAAAAAGGGCTTTTTTTTTGGAAAAAAAAAAAAAAAATCGCTGAGATTTTAGTAGGATGAAAAAAAAAAATTTAAAGCGGTTTTAAAAAAAAAAAAAAACCCAAAAAAATAATAAAAAAAAATTAAAAAAAAAAAATGTAAAAAAAATTTTTGAAAAATTATATTTTTTGGTTACAACTAAATTTTGTTATTTTTTTTTTTACTAAAAAGATAACTGATACATTTTGGCTACAGATTATGAAGAAAGTTTCATTTATTTGAAAAATTTTATAAGAAAAACACTTGTTTTCAACTGTTTGGAATTTTTTATTTATAGAGCAAAAAATAAATATCCCGCGGTGATATACAATCCAAAATAAAGTTTTATCTGTCTCAAAAAAAAGCTTTAAAACAATTCATATGGGTACAGTTGTTGCATGATCCGAGCAATTTGTAATTCAAAGTGTGATAGCGGTGAAAGCTGAAAATTGGTCTGGACAGGAGTGGTTTTAAAGAGGTTTTCTAGGATCATCTAAAGGTGGATAGGAATTAGGAGCCAGACGGACAGATTGGGGTAAGAAGTTACATAGGATGGGAGAAACTCCGGGAGAAGTCCTGGAGGGGCAAGCATGGGAGGAGGTGACACAGGAACATAGAGAGAAGAAAGGTCTTGGGAGGATTGAAGAGAGCAGTTTGGTTGATATTTTGAGACCAGGTTGGTGATGTAGTTGGTGGCAGGAGTTGTGTGGATGGCTTTGTACTAAGTTGTTGATAGTATTTTGAATTATTTATTTCGTTGGACGAAGGTGGACGCCAGTGGAGGGATTGGCAGAGAGGGGTGGAGGACACTGAGTGGAGGCCCAGTGGAGGAGATTGGCAGAGAGGGGTGGAGGAACACTGAGTGGAGGCCAGTTGGAGGGATTGGCAGAGAGGGGTGGAGGACACTGAGTGAGAGGCCAGTGGAGGGATTAGCAGAGAGGGGTGGAGGACACAGAATGGAGGCCACGGTGAGGGGATTGGCAGAGAGGGATGGAAGACATGGAATGGTAGGCCAGCGGAGCTGGATTGGCAGAAAGGGATGATGGACGACACTGAGCGAATGCCAGTGGAGGGAATTGGCAGAGAGGGGTGGAGGGCAGTGAGTGGAGGTCAGTTGAGGGATTGGCAGAGAGGGTATGGACGACACTGATGGAGGCCAGTGAGGGATTGGCAGAGATGGGTGGAGGATACTGAGTGGAAGTTAGTGGAGGGATTGGCAGAGATGGGGTGGAGGACACTGAGTGGAGGCCAGTGAAGGGATTGGCAGAGAGGGTGGAGGACAGTGAATGGAGGCCAGTGGAGGGATTGGCAGAGAGGCGTGGAGGACACTGAGTGGAGAGATTGGCAGAGGGGGGTGACGGAGGGGACAACTGAAGTGGAAGGCCAGATGGAGGGATTGGCAGAGAGGGTGTGGAGGACACTGAGTGGAGAGATTGGCAGAGGGGGGGTGGAAGGACACTGAGTGGAAGGCCAGTGAAAGGGCCCCTATGTTTTCAGTCTCTTATTAATCAAGGGGTGTGGCTCCAGTAAAAATCCATCAACAAGGGCTGAGACCTTCACCTCACAGACCTCCATCTTCTCCTATGAACTCTCCATAATGAAGCTTTCTCTGCCCTCCTGCTGACCTCTCCTAGAGTCATAGCCTGAGTGTAACAGACAGGAAAAACTGCAAAATGATTGGTTCTCCTGAATGTAAGTGCCATACTCTTGAGAGCGGCTGGTTTTGGGTCCTCCTTTACTTCCTGCATAGCCAGGCAACACACATTTTCTACTTGTATCCAGACATGGGGCTTGTTTTTTTGGATTTATTATGGAATTTAACTTAGATCTGTCCCCTGAAGCTACTTACCAAGAACTTGCATCCAGCAGACTTCTCTCTTTCTAGGCCCTGGGGGTGTAGAGGTCCTCACACTGTCCTTGTCCTTCTGCTGTGGATATAGAACAGCTTTCAGGCCGATCTTCTGTGGCTGGTCTTTTCTCCAAGCATTTCAGGGTTGTCCTTCTCCGGGTGGACTGAAGAGGGCATTGAAGCTCCCCTCCTTCAGCCTTCCTTCTTCTTCCAACCTAGAGAACAGTCCCACCCCCATTCTCCTAGGGCCCCCTCCAAGGCTTACAAAAGCAGCACATTAGCAGTCCATCCAATTTTCCACCATGACTCCTCTGCTGGCCAGGTTCTGTCAAAATTTATGGGCTGGTCTGGCCACACTGCCAGGCCATCCTGTCTGGATTGGTCAGATTGCCATAAATATGCAGATCAACCCCTCCTCACCTCCTAGCTTACTGAACTTCTGAGAAGCTTCTCCAAGCTTCTAGAGCAGGGGGGGGTACCATAGGACTGACCTGTAGACCCTCCAGCCCTAGACTGAAATAACCCTCTTGTCTAAACCCAGGCTTCTAGCAACTACTCTCAACAACTATGTACACCAGAGGGCGCTACATATACATAAAGATCTGTAAAGTCATGAAAAGAAAATTAATTTTCCATATTTTTTATCATTTTTTTGTGACAGAGCTTTCTTTTGGTGGTAATTCATCACCTCGGGGTTTTTATTTTTTCCTAAACAAAACCAAAAACCCACTGAAAATTTTGAAAAAAAAAAGTTTTTTTCTTAGTTTTTGTTATACAATTTTATAAATAAGTGATTTTTTCTCCTTCACTGATGTGCACTAATGAGGCTGCAGTGATGGGCACTGAATAGCTGCACTGATGGACACTGATAGGAGTGGCACTGATGGGCACTGATGAGGAGGCACTCATCATAGGTGGCACTGATGGGCATTGACAGGGCATCACTGAGGGGCACTGAAAGGCAGCACTCATATGTGGCACTGATAGCGGCACTGACTGGCACTGTTAGGTGGCATTGACTGGCACTGTTAGGTGGCACTGACTGGTCACTGTTAGGCAGCACTGATAGGCAGCACTTACAGGCACTGAATAGGTCAGCACTGATGGGCAACTGATAGGCGGCACTGATGCACACTGATAGGAGGCACTGACTGCACTGTTAGGTGGCACTGATAGAAGGCAGCACTGAAACAGGCCACTGATAGGCGGCACTGATGGGCACTGATGCACACACTGATAGGAGTCACTGCCCAGCACTGATAGGTGGCATTGATTGGCAGCACTGATAGGTGGCACTGACTGGCATTGATAGGTGGCCACTGACTGGCACTGATGGGTGACATTGAAAGCAGCTAAAGATATGGGCACTGATATGTGGCACTGATGGCACTGAAATGGGGGCACTGATGTGGCACTGATGGGCACTGGCAGTTGGCATGGATGAGCCACTGAGAGCTGGCACTGATGTACACGTGACAGGTGGCACTACTGCGGGATACACTGAATCATCAGCAGGGCACACTGATCATCAGTGCCCTGATGATCAGTGTACATGTCCTCTCCGAGGAATGCCGATTACCGGCTCTCCTCAGTCAGTGTGACAGCTCGTGAGGAGAGAAAATGCCGATAACCGGCCCGCCATTTCCTTGTTTACATGTGATCAGCTTGTGATTGGGACACAGCTGTCACATGACCGAGCCGCCATCTTCGGCTCTTTCCGTGGATTCGCTGTGTCCGAGGGACAACAGACACACCGCCGATCGCCGCGCTGCGTGCTCCCGAAGCCCGCACATGCGCGGTTAGATTGGGAGGACATCATATGACGACCTTTCCAGAATGAGAGAACCACCTTGCATCCATCATATTAACAATTATGGCGGGCAGGAGTGTGGTTAAGCAATGTATTCCCTCCCTGGTTTATCTCACCCCTTGACTATTGTAACTCCCTCCTCATTGGCCGACCTCATCGCAGGCTATCCCCCCCCTTCTTCAGTCTATCATGAATGGCTGCGGCCAGACTCACCCACCTTACTAAACCGTTCCATATCTGCCACCCCTCTCTGCCAATCCCTCCACTGGCCACCACTCAGTGTCCTCCACCCCTCTCTGCCAATCCCTCCACTGGCCTCCACTCAGTGTCCTCCACCCCTCTCTGCCAATCCCTCCACTGGCCTCCACTCTCCTGTCCTCCATCCCTCTCTGCCAATCCCTCGACTGGCCTCCTCTCAGTGCTCCTCCACCCTCTCTGCCAATCCCTCCACTGGCCTCCACTCAGTGTCCTCCATTCCTCTCTGCAATCCTCCACTGGCCTCCACTCTCAGTGTGTCCTCCACCCCTCTCTGCCAATCCCTCCACTGGCCTCCACTCAGTGTCCTCCACCCCTCTCTGCCAATCCCACCACTGGCCTCCATTTCAGTGTCCTCCATCCCTCCCTGCCAATCCCTCCACTAACCTCTACTCATGTGTCCTCCACCCCTCTTTGCCAATCCCTCCGCTGGCTTCCCATTGCCCAACGTGATAAAATTGAAAACATTAACAATATATATATAAAGCCATTTATAACTCCGCCCCAAATTACATCACCAAACCTTGTTTTCCAAATATCACCCAAGCCTTCCTCTCTCCGCTCCTTGCACAGATTCCTGGTCTCCTAGCTCCCTTGTCTCCTCCTCCCATGCTCATCTCCATGACTTCTTACAGAGCTTCCCCATCCTCTGGAACTCTCTACCCCAATCTATCAGACTATCGCCTACTCTGCTCACTTTTAAGCGATTCTCTGAAAACCGATCTCTTCAGGGAAGTTTATCCTGCCCTCAGCTAATACCGGAATCTTCTATTCCTCTTACCAGTCCATCCCCCACAGTTACTACCTTTTGTACCACTAGACTAGCCCTCCTCTTAGATGTAAGCTCTCAGATCACAGGGCCCTCCTATCTCTCTTGTATTGTACTGTATTGTAGCTGTATTGTCTCCCGTTATAGTGTAAAGCGCTGAGCAAACTATTGGTGCCATAAATCCTGTATAATAATTAATATCTTGGAATCTAACCACTTTGATATTTTTTAATTAGACTTTAATTCAGAACCTTTATACCTGTATATAGTAATGTGAGTATTTCTTCTGTCTTCCATGAGAAAAGCTGCACAAATATGTGAGAAATGTTCATCACACACCGACCCAGAAGGAGGTGAATGATCTACTTACAATGAGAGAAGAGAAATCCAACCAACCGATCTTATTGTACAGGCGGCCTGTTAATAATAAAACAATATATCTTTTCCTCAAAGCAAAATTTGCCGTTATTCAAGGCCCCGGATTTTGTACCCAAAACGTTTGAATCTGAGTAACATCTTCTGGAAACATGGCAACGTAAGAAATGACTTCAAGGGTTTTCTGTGATCATATCATTTGCTGAGGAGGTTCATAATTAGGATTTCTAGGATTTGTGTCCTATGTTTTAAGATATTCCAGCAGATACGTATGTTTCATGAAAGGGGTCATTCTTGGAGTCGGTGAAGGTTGTTAACTGCCATCATTTTGTGCAAAGTTTCCTATAAGTGATCTATTTCCTACTTTTGTGTATGTATGTGTTATGAAATAAAGTTGTCATAGAAGGTAATGAGGTCTGTAAATCTCTGACATACAGTATGACACGGGATATAATTATTACAGAAAACAGCAGCATTACAATCAGGACTTATTAGTATACCATCCAATTGGGCCCTCAAAGCAGTTCAGGATGTCCATGAAATGTAATAAAAGAAATATAAATGGATAGAAAATAAATCTAACTGGGCACTCTTTGAGAGTTATTCCATGTTGCTGGTGAACAAAAATTCCTTAAGAACATTTTTTAGAACCCCCTAGAGGTGTCTCTGTCCTGGATAAATGGTGACTGATCTAATGTGACCAAACAAGAATGTATCTTCAAGTTGGTGACAGATTATATACAGTGACATGGAGGGTGGGTGTAACAGTTGTGATAATACACTCACCGGCCACTTTATTAGGTCCACCTGTTCAATTAGTGCTCGGTAACACAAAGTGCTAATCAGCCAATCACATGGAAAGCAACTCAAGCATCAGAATGGGAAGAAAGATGATTTAAGTGACTTTGAACGTGGCATGCATGTTGGTGCCAGACGGTTGGGTCTGAGTATTTCAAAAACTGCTGATCTACTGGGACTGTTTCCTGCACAACCATCTCTAGGGTATTACAGAGAATGGTCCGAAAACTAGAGAAAATATCCGGGCCAGTGAGTGGCAGTGTTGTTTATCGGAGGAAAATCCTTGTTGATTGTCAGAGATCAGAGGATAATGGCAGACCTGGTTTAAGAAGATGATAATGGAAACAGTAACTCAAATAACCCTCCGTTACAACCAAGGAATGCAGAATACCATCTCTGAACGCACAACATATCCAACCTTGAAGTAGATAGGCCTACAGCAGCAGAAGACCACACCGGTGACACTCCTGTACAGCTGAAACGGGAAAACAGAGGCTAACAATTCACAAAGGCGCACAAAAATTGGACAATAAGAAGATTATGGGAAAATGTTGCTTGGTCTGATGAGTCTCAATTTCAGCTGCAACATCAGATGGTAGGGTCAGAATTTGATGTAAACAACATGGATCCATCCTGCCATGTATCAACAGTTCAGGATGGTGGTGGTGGTGTCATGGTGTGGGGGATCCATCCTGCTTTGTATCAATGGTTCATAGGCTGGGTGGTGGTGGTGTCATGGTGTGGGGGATCCATCTTGCCTTATATCAACGGTTCACAGGCTGATGGTGGTGTCATGGTGTGGGGAAGATTTTCTTGGCACACTTTTGGGACCCTTAGTACCAAATGAACATGGCCTACCTGAGTATTGATTGCTGACCAAATCCATCCCTTTATGACTCCAGTGTCCCCATCTTCTGATGGTTCCTTCCACCAGATAATGCACCATGTCACAAAGCTCAAGCCATCTCCAACTTTTTTCTTGAACATGACAACAAGGTCTCTGTACTCCAATGGCCTCCCCAGTCATCAGCTCTCCATCCAATAGAGCACCTTAGGGATGTGGTGGAATGGGAGATTTGCATCATGGATTGTGAAGCCGACAAATCTGTCAGCAACTGCGTGATGCTATCATGTCAATATTGATCCAACATCTCTGAGGAACGTTTCCAACACCTTCTTGAATCTATGTCATGAAGTATTGAAGGCAGTTCTGATGGCAGAAGGGGGTCCAACCCTCTACTGGTACGGTGTACTTAATAAAGTGGCCGGGGAGTGCATATTATTCGGTGGGCAGTGACATCAGTCAGTAATCACGGTTGATGGGAGATTCTGAACAATGACTTATTTTATTATGGGATATGATTTAGATTCAGTAAAATGGTGAGAGCCAAACCTGTCATGACCCTAGTGCTACGAGCAGTCGGGGACCTCAATATAGGTCATGTGCAGAATATGGAGCTATAGGAAGATCAGTGATAGGACAGCGTCATAGAAGCTCAGGTTGGGCAAGGCCAGAAAGGGAGGACTGCCCATTTCCCCGAGGTGAACCAGGCTGAATGCAGGGATAAGGGTTTCCCCCTATGGTCCCCCCCCCCCCCTTTTTTGGTGGGATCCCATGCCATTTTGCTTACACAAAACTGTGTACTGTCCCATTTAAGAAAAAATGGCATATGGTCCCCCCCATAACATTTATACCACCCCCTTATCTTGGCACGTGTCCAGGGTGGCAGCAATAAAAACACAGAGTCCAGTTGCAGATAAATTAGAACTTGTGTTGGTAGAAGAACATGTAAACTACAAAACAACCCCAGCGGGAGAGCGTCGCTAAGGGTAACACTCAGAGTTCAGTTCTTGGCAGGGGGCGATGTGTAAAGATGCACCCACAGTATTTGTCTTTAGAAGGCAGAATGCGGTCTGGTCCCAAAAGGAAGCTGCAGATCAGGTTTGCGAGTCCCTAGTGCAAGCATTACCCCCTTCACTAGTCACATAGAGTATTTGGGTCCCCCTATAGTCCTGCACACCCAGCGCAACATGCATTTCCTTCCGACTTGCACTCCAGAGACAGTAACCAGTCCTTGATCTTGGGTTTTTTTGTTTTATTAGGGGATTTGAAACTTGGATGGGTAAGGGGTGTATGGGATGCCCAAAGGAACTGCAATTGAGGACAATCTTCCTGCAACATTTTGTACAAGTCTCTTTAAAACAAAGAATCATCTTATTGGAGAGCTAGCCAAACCTCTCCTGGTGTACCACCCCGACCCTAGGATACTTCTTTAATATCCAGCTGTCTGAAGGAATCCCTGAGCAGGGGATCCAGTGCCTGTCACACTTTAAATGTAAGGCAGTCCCGGGTAGAAAGCTAATCCAGTTTCTCACTAAGTTGCTCCTTCCCCCTCTGGCCAGGGGGTGCATGTCCACTCACTCAGTCATCCCTATGAGCTGGTGGTTTGGTTGATGCTCTCAGGGCCTGCTGCTGGGGCTGTTTCCTTACCCGTACTGCATAGGTGATCCTCGCTCTTGGGGCTGGTGACAAGTCCTGAGCTTTCCTCCTTTTTCCAGGACTACTTACTGTGCCTATAGGTAAGACTCCCCTTCCCACCTGGACCCCCTCCCAGGCCACCTGCTCTTTCAGCCTCTCACAACATCTTCCACCCAAACTCTCTCCCTGCTGCTGAGCAGGATTGGTCACTCTTCTTAAGGGCTGTCCTAACGGTCCACCCATGCCAAAGCCTTCTGTTGTCAGGATTGGCCAGGATACCTCAAGAGTGCAGACTAGCTCCACCTCACCCCCACCCACTCAAGTTCTCTAGAGACTGCCTCCCAAGTCTCTAGATCAGGGGAGGTGTCCAGGGAACTGCTCTACAGCGGCATCTCAGCCCTGACTTAATTTCACCCTGCTAACGAGCTATTACACCTGGACTGCTGCTCAGTCGCCCCTCCCAACTACCAATTAAACTCCATCATCCCTCTAGCTATCTAGGAGGGTGCTAGCTGTTCCATACTCGTCAGGAACCTTTCCCTTCCACTATCACCTTCCCTAATAGGGAAGTGACAAAACATGGGGGTCACCAAAGATGGCCACCAAAGGTCTCCTGGACACCATAGTTAGCGAACCGGAACGCTGCCTCCAGAAACAAAGAAACCATAGAAAAAAAATGATTTTCCTTTGACTTATTTTCCAGGATGTGTCGGGTGCCACCTACAGTGAAGAAAGCAGACTGCACCTGGCTACAGGCATACAGCCTTGGTGGCTTGTAGGGATGTCTATATGTTCGAGTGTTCGCTGAAACACACGGACATCTGGGGCGTTCAGCGGGCCATTCACCCGTATGCCCCACAGTGCAATGCGCTCTGGTGACGCATTGTAATTGGCCAAAGCATTGCACCTGACCTCACAGCTGAGTTCACAATAAGAACCATGATTGGCCAAAAGTCTCAGTGACCTTGGCCAATCATGGCTCACAGCAATTGAGAGGAGCTAGCA